CAAGATTAGCCAAAAAGTGTTTATTCAAACAAAATAGTCAGTAAATACATCATTAACATGGATACTTATTTTGGCAAGTATCTGTACATATAACTAATGTGTATTCAAGTTAGTTATCTGTTCTGATCACTAAATTGAGAGAGAAAAAATACACTGATGTATTCATGATGAATGTGGAGGAAAGATGATACTGACTAAGAACACTGGTCCAGGAAAAAAATGGTAGTCAAAAAATACAAAATATGATCTTATTTCTTTGGTAAACACGTTCCATGAGTATACTGTTTACATGTGACAGAACAAATGGGCAGTATAAGCATTATAATGTATACTACGTCATATATTAAAGCCCCGTGCCCACTCTTCACCCCCGAGGGATTGCAGAAAGCACAAAGGCCGTGACGTGCGATCCAGCACTCCTCTACCTCTCTACATCCCCTGCTCTTCACAGGGATGCTAATATCTGGCCACAGTCGAAACTTTCCCGTGCCGTTCTACCATGACTAGCCAGACGCTAAAACTGTGGTGGGGACTTCTAGTTCAATATCCTTTTCTTTAAACAGCATTTTGCAAACATGTATATCATTACTTAAAAAATGTTTCGTTATAACTTCAAAATATAAACAATTGTTTGCTTCTGGTAGTGAAAGTAATTCAGTTAAGGTTTGAAAAACTGTTCCATCATCTTTCATAGAGAGTAGGTTGGAATTTTAAACTCTGTTATCAATAAGAACATTTAATCCTGGTGCTTTTGGAAGCATAAATTTCCTGCAGAGGTTTAACACAGCCCTGGCTCAGGACTCGGAAAGAAAATTCAATGGAAGGGAATTAAAGATAAAAAAAAAATCATGAGATTCACACATTAAACTCGACTGTCTTTTACAAAATAAACATCATTTCCCAACCATCTCAGAAAATAAGAGAATTACATTTAAATTTGTCTATGTACTTTTATTGTGCATTATTTTCTAAATCACTTTTCTTGAAAAAAATCACTCAGTAGAAGAGAATGCACGCTATATACGCCTTAGCAGTTCTTAAGTTTTACCTACTGCTCAGTACAATAAAAAATACATTCCATAACATTTGTAAGACCTTGACACTTAGTATAAAAACAATAATGTATACAACTTGTAAATAAAAATGTAAACTCACACACATAATTGATACAAAATTATTAGTGAAACACTTGTACAGCTGAAACCACATGTAACACCAATGACGTAGCTAAGAGGGGGGCGTAATTTTCACCGTCCCCCGAGCACGCGCATGAGTGGCCGAATGGGGGCGGTGGCAGACAAACAAACAAATGGAGTAAAGAGGTGGACGAAAAGAGTGGGGAAGGGAGAGGAAGTAAAGTTAAGAAACTAAAGGAGCCCCAAATGATATACAGTATATATAAAACTAAAAAAAAATGTTAGGGAGCCCCTTATGGAAGCTATCCTCGGATCCCCACATCTTTAGCTACGCCACTGATGAGTGGAGAGAATAGAAAAGAAAGAAAAAAAAAGTTAATTTAGGGGCTTGTGGCCCTAGAAATTACAAATATAAATTCCTTTGCCAGCTTCAAATATTCAAGTATAAAGGAAATAAAGGCCATTGAAGAAAATTAAATAAGATTGCAATGCCTTGAATGACTTGAACACACGATGAAAAATACTTGATACAGAAAGAAAGTCCTGCTACAGTTAGTCTAAAAAAATCATAATTATCAACCTTTCGTTAAGTAATTGATATCTAGTTGTATATAACAAAATTGAAAAACTTTGTTCTATACTTTATTCTATGTTTGTGAAAATGGCCATAATAATCTGACCTCTTTGATATGCTGAAATATATGTATTTTTTCTGTAACTTCATCATTCAGCTCACAAAGAACACCCTATCACATAAAAATAAAAATATTCATAAAACCACGCTGGTGTATCATACAGTATCCTTACATCAAAAGGAAGAACAAAATCTCCATTAAAAGTATGGAATAACTCGTATCATCTTCTAATTGGATCTTAAAAGGTTTCATCTCAAGGATCTTGAAAATTACAAATTATACCTCAGTTATCAAATGCATGATACTGCTTTCATATCAAAGAGAGTGGCTTAAGTTTAAGCACAAATATAAAAATAGTTTACAATGTGATATATTTTATCTCTTTTCGCTGATGCATGTTGAACTTTGCACTTAGATGTGAATTATACTGATTTCCATCTCTCTAGTATAAACAATGTACTTTGTGATGATATGTAGTGTTATTTCTTTCACAACTATGTACAGTTACTTGTATATAGCAAGAAGGTCTGACTGTTAACCCTCAAAGTTAATGCATTTACACATAGCTCTACAAAGCCACAAGTACTCACATATATTTACATTTATATAAACAAGGACCTTTTGAATTAAGTATATGGATTTCTGCCTGTCCCTATGTTCTTGACCACGTACACTTAAACAGGGACTGGATTAAAGGGCAAACATTCCCATGTGATTCAGAATCTTCAT